CACACACACCTTTTTTAGATTTTCTCCAGTCCTGGAGTGTAATTGCACTATGCAGTTATGACAATTTGATACCACTTTAACTGGCATCATTCCTAAGATACCTGGCATTTGCTAAAGGCTACATGTTAAAACATTTTTATGCCACCAGGCCTTCACAAACAGTTGAGGTTGGCCTCTTAATGCTGCATGGTGCTGGCTTTTGAAGTTTTAAGGGTATGTATATAGTTTTTGTTTTACTGTTTCAATGTACTTTAGTGTTTTCACTGTTTTAATATGTACTGTTTTTAAGTGTATTATCTTTTAATTGCATTTTATTCTTTTAATGAGTGATGTTTTAATATTGTACCAGCATGGCCTAGTGGTTTGAATGTTAGACTCAGACTCTGGAGACCAGGGCTCGATTCCCAGCTCAGCCATGAAACCCACGGGGTGACCTTGAGCAAGTCACATGCTCTCAGCCTCAGAGGAAGACAATGGCAAACCCCCTCTAAAGAAATCTTGCCAAGGAAACCCGATGATAGGGTTGCCAAAAGTTGGAAATGACTTGAAGGCACACAACAGCAACAACCAGTTTTGTCTCCATCTAATCTAAAGAGACAGGGCTGCCAATGCTGAGTGTTAATGGGAAAAAACTTAGGTTTGAAAATAATTTGTAAGAAATGTACCCAAGAAACATATCTGCAAAGAAACATCTTGGTGATCTTACTGAAAAAAGGTGATAGAGAGACTTGTGTTAATAACTTGACATATGCTGTCCTCTGGTGGCTACTTGTAAAAATTAGTTATGTGCTTTCTCAGCTGAGTCAACAAGGTGTACTTGGATTCACTCTTCCCACACCAATAATCACTATGAGATTCTCCCATGTGATATGTTGCTGAAAGTTCTTGTTAAACTGATAGTTTGCTTTAAAAAAAATAGGAAAAATTTGAATAGAATGTTTACTCTCACAACAGATTTGGTTGCACTTATAAAACAGATACAACACAAACACATTCAGCTTCCTCGTTTTCTTTGCTTTGGCCATAACTATCAATGAATGCCAGTGTGGCATAATGGTCTGAGTGTTGGACTATGACTCTGGAGATCAGGGTTCAAGCTTCAGCTCGGCCATGAAACCCACTGGGTGACCTTGGGCAAGTCACACTCTCTCTGCCCCAGGGGAAGGCAAATCTTGCCAAAAAAAACCCATGATAGGGTCACCTTATGGTCAGCATTAAGTTGGAAACAACATGAAAACACACAACAACAAAAGCATCAATGACTTATATAGTGCCTCCACCATTTTAGATAAGTTAGAGGCTGTCTGGCTTCTCCTTGGTCTAAACCAGGGGTAGGCAACCTTTCCCCTTTAAGGGCCAAGGGACTTCAGCTCCCAGAAGCCTCAGCCATGTTGGCCAATAGTCCCATGTTGGCCAATAGCTCCTGGGATTCTGGGAGCTGAAGTCCCTCGGCCCTTAAAGGGGAAAGGTTGCCTACCCCTGGTCTAAACCTCCTAGATCCCTCCAGACATTTCTGGGATCCCAGGCAGACTGGTCTCTGGGCTCATATTCTACCCAAGTGCAAGAATTGTCTTTATGTCAAGAATTCACAGCTCTGCTTGTCTCTTCTAACTCTTGTCTCCCCACCTTCATGATCATAATTGTCCTGTCTAACACCAGCTTAATCTTTAGGCTGCCATGGTCTTATTCTAACTCCCCAGTCAGTTGACTCCCTCATATCATAGGGTATCCACTGGAGTTGCCATAGGCTTACTTCTTGTCAGGACTACTTGTATTTCTACTTTCTCTGTATGTGCTGAAGTATTTAAGATTCCTCCTCCTCCTCCTCCTCCTCCTCCTCCTCCTCTTTCTTTTCTTGTCTTTCCATTTCCCTTTTAATTCTTCTTTCTCCTCATCTTCTTCTTTCTTCTCCTTTCTTTCCACTAAGTTCTTCATACTTCTCTTCTTTCTTCTGTCTTTCCACTTCCTTTTTCATTCTTTCTCCTAGTCTTCTTTCTTATCCTATCTTTTCACTTACTTCTTCATTCTTCTCCTCTTCTCCTCTTCTCCTCCCCTCCTCCTCCACCTCAACTTCTTTCTCTTCTCTTCCTCTTCCTCCTCCACCACCTCAACTCTTCCTCCTCTCCTCCTCCTCTTCCTCTTCCTCCACATCATCTCTTCCTCCTCCTCCTCTTCTCCACCTCTTCCTCCTTCACCACCTCAACTTCTCCTCCATAACCACTCTTCCTCCTCCCCCTCTTTCTCCACCACCACAACCATCTCAACTTTTCCTCTTTGCCCTGAAATTGCATATGTGCTGTATGCAGTGCTAGCTGGAAGCTCCTATGACAGTGGGTTGATGAACTCCATTCCATCTTTTGCTCCAAACTATAAAGAAGTTGTCCAAGATGCTGAACTGAGCCTCAAAATAGGTTCAGCAATTTGTATCTCTTCTCTAAAGCTCAGACCAAAAGGCAGTGTGAATTCATCACCCCACTAAGGTTAGGGTCAGTGGTTATGCCTTAAATACTCCTGATTGCCACAATATCAAAAATGTGACATTTTAAATATTATCATTGCTCCAAGGAGGGATTAAAAAGTAATCTGTGCATTTCACTTCTTTCCACATTTGAATTTTTTTAAAATGAAAAATTGATTTCATCTGGATTTTTGAATAAATTTTCAATTTTATTCTTAACCTTATCAAAACAAAATTTAAACTTTAGTCCCCTATCTGCCCCACCCAAATTCATTTGTTGTAGCTATTTCCAGCCTGGGGAAAAAAACATGATATAAAAACCTGCCTGTAGATTGCAAAGATGAGGAACCTGGCAGGAAAAAAAGAGGTGGCAACCCTAACTCAGAATCACAGACTCAAAGATAGATATTTATGACTCAGGTCATCAAAGTTCTGGTCTAGATGGTTGACCAGATTTCAGATTTCCACCTGTTCCAGTTTCTTCAATTTTGGCCATTCCAAATGTGAAGAATTTGGTGAATTTGGTTACATGTTTATCAAAAACAATCAGAAACAACAAT